CCATGTGGGTACTTAAATGAAAGGTCTCGATGAGTAAAACATCGGGATGAGCTTATATCTTTAAAAATATCAATAATTAAGAAATGACATTGCTATCTTTTCAAGTAATGATACTTTTTGAAATATAAGCTCATTTCGACATTACACTCATCGCGACCTTTTATTTGAATACCCACATCAATCTTTCATATATTTTATATATTTATATATATTATATATATGTATATATGAAAAATATATAAAAAATGCATGTGGGTACTCAAATGAAAGCTCTTGTTGAGTGTAACATCATGATGAGCTTATATCTATAAAAAAGTCTATATTTAAGAAAGTACAGTGCAATTTAACAAAATTCATTATTAAATAATGCAAGATTTTACTCATTTATAGTTTATAAATATTTTTTCCGTACTTTATATGTAAATAAAAATGTTATTACAAAAATTTAAGCATCTTAACTCTTGCAAAAAATATTTAAACTTAATTTTTATTATTCTCGACGATTTTTTTAATTATTATTAAACATATATTTAATATTTATAAGGTTATAACTTCTTTTTAAGACCATAAATCAATGCGGTGAACAATATATCATTGAAACGGATGTCAGCAGACGTGTGCCGATAAGATATGTGCACTTATAGTTCCTAGTAATTGAATTATTATATATCTGTTTACATTAATTGAATTAATTTAAATAACTTGGCGCCGGTTAAAAATCATTAACCATCAATCGTAACGTTTAATCATCAATAATAATGATGATTCTTATTATTGTTACTTAGATCAAGTTTAAAATAATAAATAAAATTTTTTTTTACAATTAATTAAATTTAATAAAATTGTTTTGTCTCTTTTTCAGTCAAAAGAGTCGCTCGGATTGAATTTCGAGTCGATGCAAGCGTCGTGGAACAACCGTCAGTATCATTGGCTGCCAGGTCCGCTGGAAATTCCAAAACAGCTGGGCACGACGTTGTCCGAAGACTATTTAAGCAAACTTGAGGTGCGGATGGTCAGTGCTCTTATCATTTATCATTTTTTTTCACTCATCTGATCATTCATCAGCTTATTAATACTATGTTTGGTAATTGTAGGTTAATTATTGTGTATTTTTATACTTATAGATTGACTCTGCGTTGTTGAATGCGTACGAGTATATGCAGAAGTATGCTGTGGGCTTAGAACAAATTACCTATGACCAGAAGGAGGAACAGCTTAATTTTCAAAAAGAGTTTGTTGAGACTGAACACAATCTTCGTTCCGTAAGTTATTTTTTTTTAGTAATTTATTTTAGTCTCTTCTCTAAAAAGTTTTAAATTTTAAATTATAGAAAAAAATAACACTAATTATCATAAAAAACAATTAGAATTTGTCATGCAAAGATGATTTTTACTTTATAGACATTATTGGTCATTATAGCGACACAACTTTTATAAAAGAGACATCAAAGCCGTAATAATTATTAATTATAATGTTTAAAATAAAATTCATTAATTAAAAATGGTGACAAAATGCAAATTTATTGATAAAATCTTCAATATTATAATTTTGAACCATAATTACATGATTTACCAATTCGCAAGCGAGAATTTAAGGCTACGTTTCGCCACCTATCGGCGATTTCGGAACTAAGTTTAAAAATTTTATTTAATAGACTAAATCTCACGATTTTAAACTACAAACTTCGAATTAAGAATCTTACAAGAGCAAAAAGTAAAAAAAAAATGCGACTTTTCTTTTTTTACAATTTTTTTTTGACTAGTTTGGGTAAAAATTTTGATTTTTCTATGAATTAAACATATAATAAATTTCTAAACTAGAATAAAAATTTAATATTATGATTTTGAACCATAATTACATTATTTACCAATTTGCAAGCGAAAATTTTATGCTACATTTCGCCACCTATCGGTGACTTCGGAACTAAATTAAAAAATTTTAATTAACTAATTAAATCTCACGATTTTAAACTAAAAACTTTAACTGGACATTTTTTATAAGCAAAAAATTGAAAAAAAAAGCCAATTTTCTTCTTTCATAATTTTTTTTACAAGTTTGGACAAAAATTTTGATTTTTTTTCTTCTAATAAAAATACAACACATTTTTAACTTTGAATTAAAATTTTATATAATGAATTTTGAATTATAATTATATTATTTACCAGTTTGCAAGCGAGAATTTTATGCTACATTTCGCCACCTATCGGCGATTTCGGAACTAAATTAAAAAATTTTATTAAAAAGACTAAATATCGTGATTTTTACCTACAAACCTTGACTAAAAAATCTTTTATAAGCAAAAATAAGAAAAAAAAAATGGCTTTTTTTTATTAAGTTGCTTAAAAATATCGATTTATTTTTTTTTTTATTAAAAGTATAATAAATTTCTAACCTAAAATAAAAATTTGCAGGTCCTATGTGAGCTACAAGTAGCAATGATGGAACGAGGAGTACCACAACGTGGTGACGTATCGCGTGACATAATGCCTGACATGTTTCGTCAAGTAGAGTCGATAACGTCGAGAAACACCCGAGACTGGATAATATTCCGGGACTACATGAACGGCCTGGAGTACGTAGTCCAGGTATTCGAGCACCTGAAGAACAACTTAGAGTCCTCTTGAGGATGGTGGGGCGGAGTAAGTCGGCCTAATAGAAATAGAACAACACGACGACAATTAGTGCGCTTCTACAATAACAATCTAAAGGCTCTAAATTCTGTGTCATTATAAGAAGACCTACGCTTCGAATTTAAATTGGAACAAAATCGACTAGTAGATGCTGCATTTAATTCACCGACGCTCGCCGCCTGATATTCACCATTAATAGTTTTAATTGATAGTATGCACGTAGTATGCATGAAGGATTGTTGGAACAAAAAACAAAATTACGATGTAAATATATAAAAAATATTATTTGAAACTGACGAAAGTTGTCAAGTACAAAATATGCACTCTTCAGCAATTAAATTGTAAATTTTTAAAAAATATTTAATCACAAATTTTTTAAGAAGAATTATTTTCTTTTAAAGAAAACTACGTAATTTTATAATTATTTATATAGACAAAAAATATAAATATATGTACAGTATTTGTTAGATAAAATTATTGTTAAACTTACGGATACTAATTTTGGATATTTATTGACTAACTATTAAATTAATCGACTATTATTATTATTGTAATAATTATTATTATTATTTTTATTATTGATTTAGTATCTTATATAATTTATTATTACAGATTTATTTATTTTTGTAAAAAGCTTTATTACAATCCGTGATAAAAATGAAATTGATAATTTATTTAAAATAAATTTGTTAATTCTTCCCCTTCCACTAGATTTAATTAATATCAATTGATAAAACATACGTCAAAAATTTTAGAGCAAAAAAAAGAAGGATATCTTGAGAAAAAAATTTATTTGAAAAACTTTGTTGGAAATTTGGGTAGAAAATATTTCTTAGCTGACAATAAAAAATGATGAAATTAAAAAAAAAAAAATAATTGTTTGAACCGCAAAAAAATCTTTGTTGAGTTGGAAAAATTTTTAGTTACTTTAACATATTGTCAAGCTGAGAAATATCTATCTTGGCTGAAGTATGCTGTCATACACTGAAAAAAAAGTTTTTTTCCACCCAGAATACAAAGTATTTTTATGCAAGTTTTTTTATATCCAATAAACGTTTTCTCAATATAAAAAAACTGGTATTTTTCTCCTGAGAATACCTAATTTTTTTCTGGAGCTAAAACTTTATACTGCGTTACCATAACAACCGCAGTGGTGGCGCCGCCAATTCTCTGACTTCCCTCCAATTTCACAGTTCTGGCGTGTTTGTTTAGATCATAGGAAAGTTGTATATACTAATTTATTGTTTATTTTTATTAATTTTTACATGTGGAATTTTTTAATTAAATTTTTTTTTTATAATAATTTAATTGCCATAAAATTCTAAAAAAATTTTTAATGTCTGTCAACTTCAGTGTCATTCTTAAATTTAATTATTATAATTTTACTTATTTAATTTTCTTAAATTTAATTATAATTGATAAATTTTTTAATTTATAAAAGATCCACCGTATCATAAACATATCGTATGCATCTGTGTCAAATGAATGACATTAAAGTTAGCAGTCACTTAACATTTTTTTAATTTTATTTAACGAAAAAATTTGTCCAAAAAAATCATTTTTAAAAAATTGCATTTTTTAGTTTTAAAAATTTTCAAATGTCAATTTATTTTTATAATTTTTTTTGCCGTAATTTATTTGTTATAGAATTTAACAAATTATTAAATATATGCTAAGTTAAATGACATGTCAAATGAGGTTAAGTCGGCCATATTTTTATTTTGGTATTTTGCTGAGAAGGAAACCGAGTTTTTTAAAAATCACCATACTTATTAGTGTAGGAAAAAAACTTTGGTATTCTCCACACAGGTATACCAGTTTCTTTACTGGAGGGAAAAATTTCCTAGGTGGAAAAAAACTTTTTTTTCAGTGTATAGGTCTCGAAAAAAAGTCTACGAAGATAAAAGAAATAAGTTTGTCAAGGTGTTTATAGATTAACTGAAAATAAAATGTTAATTGTCCGAGCGAGGATTTGAACTCAGATCTTTTTGAATACAAGTTTTCAGTTGTGTCTGTGAAGCTGTCCGAGCTGTACGAATAACCTTATACTTTGATCAGTATCTATTGACCTGTCAGGGAATTGAAAATTAAATTTTCTCGGCTCGAGGCTCTAATAACCTTGGTTCAAGTAAGTAACATACTTCTCTCAAAAAAAGTGCTTATTGTATCAAAAATGATAGTTTTCCAACAAAGATATTCTACCGTGAGCCAAGTGTGAAAGATTTAGCTCAAGAATATTTTAAATAAAATTCAAGATTTTTAATTCGGACTAATCACTTCCCTGAAAAATTAACTGTCAAAAAATATTCCCGGGTCAAGTTATCCTTTTTTCAGTCTGAATATCTTCATATAGGGTTACAAATGCGTGAATGCAATCATATGAGCCTATCCGACCTTACTGGACCATACCGAACCATGAGAGTGAATATGTAACCATATTAATCCTACTCAGAAGCCGCATGTCTGATCACATATGATTATTTCCAACAACAAATCCAACACCGCTTTCGACAAACTAAACTTTTGAATCAACTAAGCTCTATTTTACAATAATTATTATAAATTACCTGTATATTAAAAGAAAAAATGCCCGTTGTATCATATTAAACCAAAGACTTATTAACTAATAAAATCGACTATTTATTTTCATTAATAAATACTTTCCTGATGTAAAATAAGATAAAAATGAAAACGTGGGAGTTGCCATCAAATATGTGACTCTTGTAAGTTATTTGAGAGGAAATGAGTGATGTATGATGGTTCCGACTGTGTGTGCTTATGCTTACATTTAAAGACCTTTCGAGCGTGTTTTCCCGTCTGTTTACCAACTCTGTTAGCTCGTTGTCGTACATCGGACTGTTGTCAGGCCGGGGTTCTGCATGTTCACTCTCTGTTTAACAATACAATACGTGTCAATATATCTTGAAGTTCATTTTTTTATTGGCGAAGTTATTTAACACACACTGGTCAATTTTATTGCTGAATTATTATAAAAAAGGTAATAACAATAATTTTTATAACATTTTTTTAATTTATAGTATTTAAAATTAGTAGAAAAAATTATTTTATAGAAAATAGTTCAGCGACCGCCGATAGGTGGCGAAATGGTTCAAGAGTTTCTTGCTTTCAAAGCGGCAGGCCGAGTTATTAAGTACTATTTTTAAAGTAATTTTTAATAATTGATAATTTTTTTATACCTTACGGATTGATTTCTATCAAATGATTAATTGATCATCATTGACTAGGCTTAATCATATTAAAGGAGTGATATCCTATTCCCAGAGAAGTCTACATAAGATTTTCTGACGGCAATCGTGAAGAAAATAATTTACTTTAATGAAACGATTTCGCAACAAATTAAGGATTGGGCATAGAATAGATCCTTTGACATATTTGAGACAATTTTATATCAAGAAATCCAAAATTAGTATTAGGGTATAATAATTCGCCATGGTGTTTATGGTTATTCTTTCTTAACTTATAAATAGAAATATTATTGGTATTTATTTTTTAATTTTTATATTGGACAAACCTCCAAATTATAGAAACTCCAGTTCACAATCAACCTTGTAAATTAAGTTTGGTGATTTCTTCACATCAAACGATTTACAATTTACATCGTTTCACAACAGATATTCTTCCCATTGATTTATTACTCAGACTTAGAAAAATACGACTGACTTAAAATAATTGTTTTGACAAAATTAGATGTTGAATCTTGAATTGTACTAGGATGTAGAAAAATTCATAATTAGTTGAATATTTCGAAATATTTCATGCAATATTTCAGCAATACACTAATTTTATAATCTAAATTTTTGAAGTTCTTTAGAACAAAAATTATCTTTACAATATTAAGTTCGTATTAATTCAGCGGTTTTTACTGCAAGTACACAGTCGCCGCCATCTGTTGCGAATTATTAAGAATTAAAAAATAGCTCGGCTCAATTTTTACTAATAAACAATTTTTCATGATTTCACGGTCACACCTGAAGTCTTTATTTCAAGTTTGAGGAATATATACATTAGAAATAATACTTTTTTTTACCTAAAAATATTCGTTGAATATTTTTCATTATTTGACAAACTACTTTCGAACATCAAGAAAAATTTTTGAATTATGTTAGCAACCTTGCAGTCACTATGTGACTGCCATGACTTGTGAACTATATATAAATGAAATTTTGCTTTATTAAATAATGACTTTTTGTTAAATTGCACTGTAATTTCTTAAATATTGAAGATTTTGAATATATACGCTCATCTTGATGTTACACTCATCAAAAACTTTCATTTGAGTACCTACTTGCACTTTTAATATATTTTATATATTTATGTTCACTCTCTGTTTAACAATACAATAGGTGTCAATATATCTTGAACTTCATTTTTTTATTGGTGAAGTTATTTTACACACACTGGTCATTTTTTTTTGCACGCCTCATAGCGCGAAGCGCGTGAGGTTGTGCTTTATACTCGACTCGTTAAGATCAAGCAATTTTGTGATCTTTAAATGCCTCTATCACAACCATATTACACTTATACAATGATATAAGTAGATGTACACCGAAAAAACACTTAAATTAAACCATCTGTTACTTTCTAAAATCATTTCATGTTGCTATTTTGAAAAAAAAAAAAACGTTTTGAAAAAAATTTTACGTGGACGTCCGGATGTCACCCCATTTTGGATGTACCAACGATTACTCCCGAACAAATTGATATTTCAAGACCGGATCTTTTTTATTAGTTTAAGAAATCGATGAACTGGGTCCGTATTGCATATCAGTGCCCTAGCTTACGTATTTTTTTTTAAATTGAATTTTTATTAAAATTCACTACGATACAACCGTACAAAGACAAACGAATTTTTCTTATATGTCACGTGAAAACTATGGCGCCACTTGATCAAGCTAGACTTTTTTAGACTGCGAGCCCATATGACAAGAAAAAAGGGCGCCGATATTTAAAAAAAAAAAATAAAAAATACTCTG